CGTAGATTTTTGCATTACCTCTCATGTTTTACATCTTCACTTCCATGATCAACAAGAATATCGAGATGTTGCTGGGAGATGCCAGAAGCAGTTAACTCCTTTTTAGCTGCAGATCGCCAATAAATACCCACCATCCGTCCTTTTATGTGCGACAGCTCTTTCCTGAGATTGCTTGTGATGCACATTCTCTCTAGCGAATGCCATTCAATGATATGCGAAATTGAACGCCATCTCCCATTCATGGAATAGAAGAACAGAAGAATTTCACTTGAATGTCATGTGTTTGAAGACATTTCATGACGCAGTCTGTGTTTCATCCCCTAGCTGTATACACAGACCGAGCAGTGCATGAAAAAAACTGACTTCTTCGTCTAAAAATTGACTTCTTCGTCTGGCCATAACGATACCGTTCGTCCGAGAAAGTGTTGTAAGAACCCACCCAACCGAAAGACCGTGCCCAAATCTTCAGTGTGTGATGTGCGACTTCACGTCGGCGGGAAATATCGGCGATCTATACCTTTGCCCGTTGTGACGTATATCTTTTGTCTCCAGTACTATACTGACACACCATTTAAGCTCCTCTAGTGCACAGTAAGTGCACTGTTGGCCCCATCGATCGTCCCCAGCGCTGCACGCACAATGTCCCCCTCTACTTCGCTCTTTGATTACGATGTGTTCGCGATGTCCTTCCCGGTCCCTTCGTGTGTTATTTTTTTTTCTGTGTTGATTTAAATGTACTTTGTTATTAACGTGGTTAAAGTTTCGCGCGAGCTGCGCTCGACAGCCACAGCAAGTGTTGTCGTTTCGGAAGCAAGGCACTTCACCGACCAAACAGAAAAACGCTGTGACTGAGAAAGCGATAAAGCGAAGGATGTTTTGGAGTGTCTCTTCGTGACCAGTGAACAAACCTTGACCAGCTAAACTGGAAAGTTTCTCGATGAATGCCTTATATGCTGCCTGTATGAGTATAAAAATTGTGTGGAAAAATTCTAAGAAACCGAACGTAAGGTTGTATTCAGGCTGATTCCAACCTATTCACTTTACAATATAACTCGAAAAGTTATAAACGCCGTGACTGAGAAAGCAGTGAAGCGAAGGACGTTTTGGAGTGTCTCTTCGTGACCAGTGAACAAATCTTGACCAGCTAAACTGGAAAGTTTCTCGATGAATGCTTCATATGTTGCCTGCATGAGTATAAAAAACTGTGCGGGAAAACTCTAAGAAAACGAACATAAGGTTGTATTCAGGCTGATTCCAACCTATTCACTTTACAATGTAATTCAAAAAGTTATAAACCTGGTGCTTCGAGGAGGTAGTGGATAGTAGTGAGTACACGATCTTGTGGTTGATTTGATGAGACGGCGAGATGGAGTGGTGTTAGTTGGCCGTTCGTACGACTATTGACATTAATGCCATGCCGGAGCAGCAGGGCCACCACTTCGTACATGGCCCATGTTGCAGCGCAATGCAACACCGTCCATCCATCATCTGTCGTCCATTCTGGATCAGCGCCTAGTGAGAGCAAATACTCCACCGCTTCAACATGACCACCATATGCTGCTCGATGCAGTGCCGTATAGCCATCCATATCGCGAGCCTAAAACCATGTTTGGGTTTAAAGGCAGCGTAAAATCGGTTGTACCTTTAAAAAAGAGCCAATAATCAAGAAATCGGAAACAAGAGGCCCAAAGACAACGCAAAATCAAGGAATACTTTGAAAAACAGCTTTGCTGCGACAACGCCATATTAGTATGCCAAGGTAAAAGGGAACTTTGCCACCTGCAATAGTAGTAGCGCAAAAAAGCATTGGAAAAAGTTCAGCAATTAAATAATGACAGTAAAGGTACCTGTGACAGTAACGGTCCTTCTCACAGTCGGCAAGGTATCTCTTTGCATCCTACGGAGGGAGGGCAGAGGGCCGCTGAGGGGGAAGGGGACAATGCTCGATACAAGGGATAACGCAAAAAGTACACCAAGAATAACCCGAAACGGCTAAAGCCTTTGCTTCTGACAAAAGGTCTGATAAACAATTCAGCACAATAAACGAACCGCTAGCAGTCTGACTACGAAAAAAAGCGAACATTTGCCAACTGGACAGCTGGAGAATCAAACTATGAATTACTGATAATTTAAG